AGGGCCTCACCCCACCAACCCCAATCCTAAATGCTGCCTAAAGGTGAACAAGAGAAAGAACACCTGCCACTGGATTTTGAGAATAACGTTGAGAATAAGGGTCACTGGTTGCTTTAGACAATGTCGTTTCAGTGGCCTGGTGCTGGGGAGCAAGTGGAAGAGTGTGATGAGAATCAGGAAGTGGTGTAAGGTATTTTTCCAAAAGAATATTGGATAGTACATAGAGGAAGCCTGTGGGGCTGAGGCGGGAGAGATTTGTGCCGGCAAAGAAAGAATGATTGAAAATTTAGGAGCCAGAAGGGATGACTGATGGAGTCCAGCTCCTAAGGCAGTGGAGGAGAAGGATTCCCAAGCAGAGGAGGTGAGGTTTACCTTGGACAGGAGGAAGGAAGCCTCTTTACCTGAAAAAGCCAGGGAGTACATCACTCAACGTCAGTGGTAATGATGTCGTATGTGTCGGGGAGTTGATTTTTTTCCTCGGAAGTAGGTAAACCCTGTTGCTGAACGTGATGGGATGAGATAAGAGATTGGGGGAAAGAGGGAAACACCTGGCATATTGACAGAGTGTGAAGTCGAAGGGGGTTGATTAGAGGCAAGTTAAAGGATTTCTGGGCAGTACTGATCCCGCACCTCTGCTCCAAGGATGGAGACAGTGAAAGAGTAGGGTTCTCTTAGCATCTCCCTCATACAGACCTCTAACCTAGTACTCGTTTACTTGACTCCCTCTCTCTGGAAAATACAGGACACAGGGTAAGAGGGGAAACAGATAAAAAAGTTTGACAAACATTAGATGAAAGCCCTATAATGAAAACAAAGAGCAGAGACAATATAAACAGTGGTTAAGAATCTTCCCAGAACTGATGAAAGACACCAAAGCATAGATTGAAGAGGCCAAATAAATATCAATAACAACAAACCTAAAAAGATGATATCCACACTCAGTCACATCAAAGTAGAAGTGTTAGTGCTAATACCCAAAAGCCCAGGAGACCTACAGGAGTCCTGAAGAGACACCTGGCCCTGGAGAGAGGCCCAGGGAAGTTTTCCAGAGCGTGTGATGGAAGGACTGTAGGCTGAGTTGTAAATGATGAATAAATGTCAGCCAGGTGTGAGAGGGGAGCAGGGGTAGGAGATGAAATGCAGAGGAGAGGGAGTACTGGGCAGAAGCCAAACTGTCAGCAAAGCTGCAGGACAAGAAACGCATGTGTCAGAGACAAATAGGCAAGTTGCTGTTAGGAAAGTGTAAAGTGTGAGGCCAAACCAGAAATGTCAGCGACAAAGAGGTCTTAAAGGCCGAGACAGAGAAGGAGAGATCATTTTCAAAGGAGCAGCAGATGAGAGTCACAGCTGACTTTTCTTCTGTGATAATAGAAGCAAGATATAGTGGAACGCGGAATAGTTCAAGATACCAAAAGAAAATGCCTGCCAATACAGCATTCCAAACTTGGCAAATCTACTTTTTTTTTTTTTTTTTTTTGAGACAGAATCTCACTCTGTGGCCCAGGCTGGAGTGCAGTGGCCCAATCTCAGCTCACTGCAGCCTCCGCCTCCTGGGTTCAGGTGACTCTCCTGCCTCAGCCTCTTGAGTAGCTGGGATCACAGGTAGACACTACCAAAACTGGCTATTTTTGGTTTTTTGTATTTTCAGTAGACAGGGTTTCACCGTGTTGGCCTGGCTGGTCTAAAACTTCTGGCCTCAAGTGATCTGCCCACCTTGGCCTCCCAAAGTGCTGGGATTACAGACGTGAGCCACCATGTCTGGCCAAAATATTTTTCGACTATGAAGGGAGAGAGAACGAGAGAGAAAAAGAGAGAAAGTGAGAGAGGAAACCAAGGATGTTTGCTACCAGAAAACCAATTCTAAAGGGGTTTCTAGAATATATTTCAGGAAAAAAGATTCTGGATGGAAGATCTAAGAGTACTAACAGGGTGTAAGGAATAAAGAATAGAGACTATGGTAAATATGTATGTAAATCAAAACGAGCAGTGAATGTACAAAATAAAACCAAACATCACGATGACATCTTTGGGGGCTCAAAAATATAGAATTGGTATTTCATTAATAATAAAATGCCACTAATACTAAGATGCATAATTTATATATCACCTAAGGGAAAAAAAATGTTGCCAGTTAAACTATTAAGAACTAATATCGTCCTGAACAGCACATGAATCATCCCATGTCATGTTAATTTAAATTTTAAAAATGTCTTCTAAAGGATTAAGCAATTTCTTCTGATTTCATTTGCACTGACAGTTTACGGTAAATTACCCTTTTGCTTTTTATCTTACAACAAAAAGTAACATGGCTTCACCCACATGTGGGTATCTTTCTTTCCTAGGTTCTACAAAGCACCAGATTGTTGCTTTACAAAAAAATATGGAATATGGTCATTTCCCAAACAAATGTTACAGGTGTCCCAAGAACAAGAGGTATGCTTCCTCTTTTACTTCTGTGCCCTTCTGTATACACAATAACTTTGTCTCCGTACCAGCTAATAATGTAACACTTTTGCAGATGTTTGAAAAGGCAATAAATTAAACATGTATCAATGAACAAATAATTCAATTAAAGCGATAATATGAACAGCAATGACAGAGTTCATGCACCTGCAGGCAATGACAACTTTATCAGGACTGCCACCTGGGACTAACAGCAACTGTAAATCACCATCAATTGAAGACATACCTCTACTTCGGAGATGTTCGAATGTGAAATAACACGTATATTGGGATTGATAAAATGCCACAAAGAATGTTATGAAAATAGCATGTAAGTTGTGAGGAGGAGAGCTAGAGTTCAACTGTTCTAAGGTCTTTATATTATCTGGAGGAGGGTAAAGGTTTTATACTTTGAAATTCTCAAATATATACTTTGATAACTGAAGTACAGATGTTGTGATTTCTGGGTAACCAGTAAAGTAATATTTAAAAAACGTATAATCGCATAATTTTCAACTAGTAGAAAGAAAAGAATGGATTGATAAAAATACCCAGCCAATCCAAATGAAGACAAGTAAAGGGAAAAAATAAACATATGGAACAAGCCGGGATGGTATATTGAAATGCCATCAGTGTTTAAATGCACCGGTAATTACATCAAGTAAAGTAATTTAAATCCGATTTAAAAATTACCAGACTAAAAAAAGTCAAAATCATATGCTGATTACGAAACACATATCTAAACTTTAAGATCACAGATTGAGAGTAGATGTAAAAGAAGGAGCTGGTGGAGCTATACTAATATCTGACAGAATAGGCTTTAATACAAAGGTGAAGAAGAAAAATGGTTTCTGATGTAAGGGAGATACTTGTATGAACTTTTTTTTTTTTTTTAAGACAGAGTCTGTCACTCTGTTACCCAGGCTGGAGTGCAGGAGCATGATCTCGGCTCACTGCAGCCTCCGCTTCTTGGGTTCAAGCCATTCTCCTGCCTCAGTCTCCCAAATAGCTGGGATTACAGGCACACGTCACCATGCCCGGTTAATTTTTTATTTTTAGTACAGATGGGGTTTCACCTGGTTGGCCAGGCTGGTCTCAAACTCCTGACCTCAAGTGATCCACCTGCCTTGGCCTCCCAAAGGGCTGGTATGAGCCACCACGCTCGGCCTTCTATGCACATTTTAAAATAGACTTGAAGCTAATGACATGGCCTCAAGATTTATAAAGCAAAAACTGACAGAATTTCAAGAAGAAACAAACAAATCCACAATCATGGTGGGAGATTTAAAAACACCTATCTCTTATCATTAGAGCAGGCAGGCAATTAAGTCGGTACAAGTAGAGAAGATTTAAACAACACGATTAATGAATTTGATTTAAAGGGTATATACGTATATGTATGTGTTTGTGTACACACACAGACACACACACAGAGAAATATATACTGCATTCAAGAGGCACAGAATATACATTCTTTCCAAGTTCACATGGAATATTTATAAAAACTAAACAAAAAATGTGTTACAAAGAAAATAAAGAATTGAAATCATGCATAGTATATTTTCTGACCTTATTGGGTTTAAGCTAAAAATTTTAAAAGGCAGTAATGTGCCTAAGAAACTCAAGGGTCAGGCTGGGGGCGGCGGCTCACGCCTGTAATCCCAGCACTTTGGGAGGCCAAGGCAGGCGGATCACCTGAGGTCGGGAGTTCGAGACCAGCCTGACCAACATGGAGAAATCCCGTCTCTACTAAAAATACAAAAAAATTAGCCGGGCGTGCTGGCGCATGCCTGTCATCCCAGCTACTAGGTTGACTGAGGCAGGAGAATCGCTTGAACCTGGGAGGCGGAGGTTGTGGTGAGCCGAGATCATGCCATTGCACTCCAGCCTGGGCAACAAGAGCAAAACTCTTGTCTCAAAACCAAACCAAACCAAACAAAAAAACAAAAACAAAAAATCTCATGCGTCAAAAAATCATAATGGAAATTAGAAATATTGTAACCAAATGATAATGAAATCTTTATATTAAAATTTGTGAGATGCAGCTAAAGTCACGCTCAGAGGGAAATTTATGGCCCTAAATACAAATACTGAAAAAGAAGAATAACCAAAAGTTAACGACGTAAGAATCCATTTTTAAAAGGTAGACAAGGCCGGGGGCGGTGGGCCACGCCTGTAATCCCAACAGCACTTTGGGAGGCTGAGGTGGGTCGATCACTTGAGCCCAGGAGTTGGAAACTTGCCTGGGCAACATGGTGAAATCATGTTTCTGCAAAAAAATACAAAAATTAGCCAGGTGTGGTGGCACACACCTGTAGTCCCAGCTACTGAGGAGGCTGAAGTGGGAGGATCATGAGCCCAGGGAAGTGGAGGCTACAGTGCTGTGATTGCTCCACTGCACTCCAGCCTGGGTGAGAGAGGGAGACCCTGTCTCAAAAAACAAACAAACAAACAAACAAAGTAGACAAAGCAAAATAAACTGGAAGAAAGTATGAGGAAGGAAATGGAGAACATGAATAAAGGAAAGGCTGCTGATGAATTTGAACTTTGATACTCACAACAAGAGGACGAGGCAGAAGAAGAGCAATGAGAATGCAATGGCTCCATACACAATGCCCTGGATTAATCCTTTCACGAACATACTGGAAACTGATTTCTTATCTGGAATTGGAGGGAAGTGAGATGGACTTTTCTCCAAAGGCTTTGAAGTCGGAGCTAAAACTCTCTACCCTTTCCACTGGCCCTGTGCCCATCCACATCTGGTCCTTAGGCGTTCTTTCCAGCTCAGTCACTAGGTCCCCGGATACTCACTTGGTATCAGGAGGAAGCTGGAAGTGTGAATTCCATATTGGTTCTTCCCCTCACAGCGAAGTCTCATGACTATTTCTGGCTCCCCGATGAGGTTGATGGTGCTATTGGCCCAGGGGACACGTGTGGAAGAAGTCACCCGGAGGATGTTATCCATGCTCTTCACATCCACAGGGACACCTCCCATCCACCACTGCACGGAGGGCGTGGGGATCCCATGGAAGGAACAGCTGCACAGAACTGTCTTCTCCAAAGAACAAGAGGAATTGAACAACCCGGGAGGTGCTGTGCGGAGGAAGAATCGGGGATCATCAAGATGTCCTGATTTTGCTTCTCTACTTCCCCTAAGACCCAGCCTTGCCTCTACTCGCTATTCACAGGGAGCTTCAGAAAGACTTTCTGGCAACCCAGAGTGGGGCTGGGACTCAAAACAGTCCCCTTTCATCCTCTCTCCACATCTGCCTCCGACTTGGGTTCAGCTCCTACCTCTGACCTTTCAGCCCCAAAGGTCAGGGGGAACATGTGACAGCTCCTAAGATTTCTTTCCCTCTGGGGCTCAGGTCTTTTCTGGAGCCCACTATTTCTCAGGATCCTGCCTGTGCCCACCAGCACTTACAGACCACTTGGAGCTTGACCAAGCTACTTCTGGTCACGTTGGCTAGGGAGAAGTTCAAGTGACATCCAAGGGTGTTGCCATGGTCCTCAGGCCTCAGGATGAAGTGTGGCACCGAGGAGGAGCTGCTGGAGACGGCTGGGTTCTTCCGGGAGTGAAAGAGGGCTTGGATTTCTTTGCAGGTGCCTTTGAGGGTGCAGTTCAAGGTCACAGGTTTCTCAGCCAAAAGAATCTCTGGGATGTGGAGCTCTGGCTTTTGGGTTAGGTCTGGAGAAGAGAGAAGCAGACCCAAACCTTGGGGGAAAAGGGACCCTCATGGACACTTCACTGATGCACAGCGTTTCCAGGTTACAAAGTGCTCCCCGCCCATTAGCTCATTTGCAACCCCCTCACCTCCCCAACAGCCTTGTGAAACCTGGGATTGTTGGGGTTGAATGGTTTTTCACAAATAGATTTCCCTTCTCTGTGTGGAAGGGGAACAGCCCAGCGTCCAGGTGATCAAACTGAAGAGAACTACTCAAGGTGGTAGAGCTTGAACCTGAACTCTGGTCTTCAAAGACTGAGGGTGAGTAGTTTTCTGACGATCTACATTGTAGAATGAGGATTCTACATTCTGGCCCCTTACCTGAGCCCCAGACTAGATGTGCTAGTGGTAACTCCTCCTCTGCCTCCCTTTTCCAGCCCAATTCTCCCCCTAGACTCTGCCCCTTCCCAGCCCAGTCTGTGATCATTTCCTCTCTATTTTGTATTGGTTGGATGACATAGGGTGAGTCGCTTCTCTTTTTGCCATTTCTGTTTGGAAAAGTAAAGTTACCTATTATACCGATCTCATTGCATCACTGGAAAACTCAAACACCTGAGGTTTTGTAAAGCCTAGTGCCCATCAAGTAAAAACCACATAATCACCAGAACCACGGTTGGATTTCCTTCTTTCCAAACCACTTATTGGATGATATTGAACATCACCTGACACAAAGAGTTTGATATTCTCCCCCAGGAAAGCACTTTTTTGTTCTCCTAGATCTGCATACAATAAATACGTCGCACTGTTCCCTTTGAGAATATCATGGATGAGTAGGGTACAGTCTTCTTCGTCAAGATTCCCAGTCATGGAAAATCTGTCCTTGGTGTTATCACCAACGGTAGCACTGGGTTTATTTGTAGCTACAAGGGAGCTGACGTTTTTGTTGAGCCAGTAGCCCATGATCATGGAATTACTTGGGAGTTCTCTGGGAAATTCAAATGCACAAGGGATTGTCGTGCACAGCCCCTCTTCCACTGGTATCTTCTTGATTTCCATCAAAACCTGAGAAAGTAACCCTGTAAGGAGAGATCCAAGTTGAAAAACAGACCCACCTACCACACTCCTGTATTATATCTGTGCATTAAAAGAGTCACCTTACCTAAGGAAGGCTTGACACTTGTCCAGCTCCTACGAGGTGATCTCTAAACCCTTGGGATATACTGCCTGATAGGAGTGTCTTTGTTTACCTGAGACCTTGGACTTCATCAGTTGATGCTAACACTCTGATTTATGGTGGGACCCCTGGATCCTGGGGCATCAGCTTGACCTCTGGAGGGGCTGAAGACTAAGCTAAGTCAGTGACCAGACCCACAATAAAAACCCTGGACACCAAGGCTTGGGTGCACTTCTCTTCTTGGCATGTCTGTGCATGTCACCACACATTGTTGCTGAAAGAAGTAAGCTCTGTTGGTGCAACACTACTGGGAGAGGCCAGCTGAAAGCTCATGCGTGCTCTCTCCTGAATCCTGCCCTAGGCACCTCTTCCCTGTACTGATTTTCATCTGTATTCTTTTGCTATAATCAACTGCAATCATGAGTAAAACAGTTCTGCTGAGTTTTGGGTCCTTCTTGTGGATCACTGAATCAGAGGCGTCTTGGGGACTCCTAAATTGCATCATCCCAATCTAGTCTGCTGGATTTTTTATTGCTCTTCTTGTTGGTATTAATTGTATCTTGTGATCTTGGCCATGTTGCATCATTTCTGAATCTCAGTTTCTCAGTCAGGGAAATGGGTACAATAATACCAACACTACAATATTGTGATAATTAAGGACAATACCTACAGAGGCACGTGGCCCCCTGCAATAACTGCACATTGTGACTTCAGTCACATTCCACTACAGGGGACCATGTCACAGTGAATAGTTAGTGAATAATTGTGCTCGCCATCCATTAGCTCATTTGGAACCCCCTCCCCTCCCCGACACCCCTGTGAAACCTAGGACTGTTGTGGTTGAATGGTTTCCACAAATAAACTTCCTTTCACTGTATAGACGGGGAACACCCCATTGTCCAGGTGAGTAAACTGAAGAGAATTACTCAAGGTGGTAGAGCTTGAACCTGAACTCTGGTCTTCAAAGATCAGGGTTTCTTGAGGGTCTATATTGTAGAATAAAGATTCTACATTTTTTTTTTTTTTAGACAGAGTCTTGCTGTCACCCAGGGTGAAGTGCAGTGGCACGATCTTGGCTCACTGCAACACCCGCTCCTGGGTTCAAGCAATTCTCCCAACTCAGCCTCCCCAGTAGCTGGGATTACAGGTGTCCACTACCACACCTGGCTAATTGTTCTACTTTTAGTAGAGACAGGGTTTCACCATGTTGGCCAGGTTGGTCTCCAACTCCTGACCTCAGGTGATCTGCCCAACTTGGCCTCCCAAATTGCTGGGATTAGAGGCATGAGCCACTGTGCTTGGCCAAGTACCTAATTTTTTATGTTCTCACCTCTTCATCTGACTTCAGCCCTGTCTGCCTTCCAGCCCTACCCACCCTCACCTCCCCAAGATACCTCCACACTGCCTCTCCTTCTACTTACCCAACCATAGCAGTGGCAGTGCCATCAGCCCCAGCGAGACCTCACGGGCAAGAGAGGACCAGGATGTATCCTGCTGCTAACTCTGACCTCAGATTGGTCTGTCCTGGAGGGCAGGATTTGGATTGGATGAGGAGAGGGGCAGTAGCAAGAGGCATGGGGTGCGGCTAGGAAGAAGTCCACGGCTTGCTAGGGGCTCTAGTGTTTTCAATCTACCCCTAAGGTCTGTTAATCTGGTGAATTAGGGGCCTGATGGGACCTGATGCTGGGGAGCTTCAAGAACAGAGGTTGGGTGGCTCACGCCTGTAATCCCAGCATTTTGAGAGGCTGAGGTGGGAGGACTACTTGAGCCCAGGAGTTTGAGACCAGCCCGGGCAATGTAGGGAGACCCTCTCCCTATAAAAAAAAATTAAAAAAAAATTAGTCGGGTGTAATGGTACATGCCTGTAGTTCCAGCTACTCAGGAAGCTGAGGTGGGAGGATCTCTTGTGCCTGAGAGGTTGATGCTGTAGTGAGCTGTGGTCACAACACTGTACTCCAGCCTGGGCAACACAGTGAGACCCTGCCTCAAAAACAAAAGAACAGGGGTTGTCCCCAAACTCTTTGTGAAGCCTCAACACCATGTTTGCTTTCTTCTCTCCAGTCTGCATTCCCACTCCACTTCCTCTTCAAAGAGTCTCAAATGCCAGGCTGAGGAGCCCGGACTCCCTCCCATGTCAATGGGGGAGCTCAGGGAAATTATGGAACGGTTTTGAACTATGGGAGAACGGGTTTGGGTGTTCTAAAGATCCCTCTGGGTCTGCATTGAGGAGGAAACAACAGTCCAGGAGAAAGATGATGAAATCTGAGCTGGAACGGTAGCTATGGGGGACAAAGAGAAGGTGATATATTTAAGAGAGATATTCAAGAAATAAACAACATTTCAGGGGCAGACAGAGTACATTCCAAACTCCCTTGCCTTTCATTCGAGCCCTCCCTGATTTTGCCCCGCTTTTCCCTTACCTCGATATTCCCCATGCCTGCACCCTGTCATTCTTTCCATACCAAAAAAAAAAGATTTTTTTTTTTTTTCCCTTTTTTGAGACAGTCTTGCTCTGTCACCCAGGCTGGAGTGCAATGGCGCGATCTCAGCTCACTGCAATCTCTGCCTCCCAGGTTCAAGCAATTCTCCCGCCTCAGCCTCCCAAGTAGCTGGGACTAAAGGTGCCTGCCAGCACGCACAGCTAATTTTTGTATTTTTGGTAGAGACGGGGTTTCGCCATGGCGGCCAGGCTGGCCTCGAACTCCTGACCTCGGGTGATCTGCCCGCCTTGGCCTCCCAAAGTGCCAGGATTACAGGCAGGAGCCACTGCACCGGCTGAAATAGGGATCCTTTCCACAGATGCTCCACACATCCTTCCTCTGCCTGTTTCCTCAGGCCACTCCCCATGTCATGGCGTCCTTCTGCAGCTCTGTCCTCTGCCCACATTCAAACCCTCTCTCTCTCCCCAAGTCCAGGTCAAACGTAACCTCCTCCTGGAAGTTCTCTCCTGGATCTCACAACCAGAAAGAAGCCTCCTCTCTCCGACTCTCTTCAGCAGCCCTAGCTATCCATCTCCTCTAGGGCAATGTCTCAGGTAAACCCTGAGAGTTGCCTACCTGATATCCAACCTCTGTTTCCTTCTTACTATTTCAAATTTGTTCAGGTGACCAAGCCACCAATTTGAAAAACAGTATCTCTGTTTTCTAGCCTCATCTGGGGTGGCCATATGGCAGAGTTCTGGCCACTGAGCCAAGGAGAAGAAAAATGTTATCAAATTATTATCAGCGAATAAAAGCCTACTCAGCTTTTCTCCCCCCACCCCTCCACCGCTTTTTTTTTTTTTTGAGTTCTGGCCAGTGAGTCAAGGAGAAGAAAAATGTTATCAAATTATTATCAGTGAATAAAAGCCTACTCAGCTTTTCTCACCCCCCGCCCTTTTTTTTTTTTTTTCATGTAATACTAGCTAATAAAATTCCAGGACTTGGTTTTAAAAACATAAGTTTTCATAATAAAGTACATGACTCTCAGAAAGAGTTGAAGGACATGTTTCCTGCCCCTGCAGCACTGAATCAAAAGATACTGTTCTGTGTTATAAAATGGTTCAAGGAATTTGATTTGATGTTGTGCAAAACTGAGACTGTTTATAAGAATGTCATTTATGTTCTCCTCTGCAATATACAGTTTTGTATGAATATTCATGACGGTTGCTGACTTGTTCTAGTCTTTGCTAATAGGAATCTGCCCTTGGAAGAACAATTTAAACAAAATGGTCTTATGAGACTCCAAAGATGTTAGAAATTATTCCATGTCTCATGAAAATGATCCCCACATAAAATGGAATTCTGATGGGTTGTCTTACCTGATGATTTCTTGCTCTGGTAATAATAACATTGTAATTGACATCTCTGTTTTCCTAAACTGTATACCAATCTGTAGGACTGTACTCTTCTCTCTCATGAACAATGCAGAAAACATAAATAAATAAATAAATAAAACCTGGCCAGGCACGGTGGCTCATGCCTGTAATCCCAGCACTTTGGGAGGCCAAGGCAGGTGGATCACGTGAGGTCAGGAGTTTGAGATCAGCCTGGCCAACATGGTAAAACCCTGTGTCTACTAAAAACATACACACACACACACACAAATATATATATACACATATATATACACACACACACATATACATACATATATACACACACACACATATATAAATATATATAGCTGGGCATGGTGGCAGGTGCCTGTAATCCCAGCTACTGGGGAGGCTGAGGCAGGAAAATCGCTTGAACCCGGGAGGCGGAGGTTGCAGTGAGCCGAGATTGCACCATTGCACTCCAGCCTGGGCGACAAGAGCGAAACTCCGTCTCAAAAATAAATAAATAAATAAATAATAAAAACCTTTAACTCTGCTAGATTTGTTACTGAGCACGCATTTTGAGAGACTTGTCTACTTAAAATACCAAACTTAAGAGGCTATCTGCTGGGGAGTTTTGGGAGTTCTTCTTTTCTGACACCGGCACCACCATTTCCTCCTCCTCACCTTCCCCTTCTTCCTTCCTGGAAGATGAATGTGATGCTGGAGATGGTGCAGCCACCTGGCAACTATGAGACAACTGCGAGGATGAAAGCTGGAGATCTGGGGATGTCGCTGACAACAACACGGAGAGCCTGGTTTTCAGAGGACCCTGTGGAGCTGTTGCAACAACCCCACACAGCCCGCCGCCGTATCTCTTCTCCATTAGATTGTCGT